AGATATATATATGATTATAATACGCTACAACCAACCTTAGAAATTTGTCTCGGTTCTTTTTGTTATTGATTGTCTTGAGTATAGTATGAACTTCTGTGCCTGTAAATGTTTCGAATGCTGGACCCCCACCGGAGTTTTGGCCCTGGACCCCCGGGGGCCCTTGGCGGCCTCCTGGCCCCTGCCAATGGTGCTCGCAACTGCCCTTTCAGTATCAAAAAACCCCCCTACCTAAATCCTGGCTACGGGCTTGATTATCACTTTGGAAAACTTACGCAATCGGACTTTTTGCCGTTACTTACTTGGTCGATGATGCAAAGGGCAACGGTCATTTGTAATGCGACTATTCTTAAAAAGGACGTTTGCTGGTTTTTTACCCATAATATTACAAATAATTTCTGAAAACCAGACTAATGAGACTACTAAGCTGCTGTTATTAGCATTGTTGGAGTACGTTGTTGCCAGCCAGAGCATGATAATGGTGGTACAATACAACAACGCTGGCTTAGATGCCTACGTTACGTAATCGTGTCCTTGTAATCCGAGCCGACTTTACCGTTAAGCAAGTTAATTTACCGTCATTCTAGTAAAGTTAAGTCACTTAACTTAAGTGACTTAATTCCTTTATCTAGCTATAATTGAGTGGTTCACGTCGAACTCTAAGTGGATCTATATCTAGATAAAAGTTCGACGTGAACCAGGCTTTAGAGAATTCCAGTTTAAAAAATATGGGTAATTAAAAAACGTATGAGCAGTGTTGCCAGATATACTGGCATTTTTCATTTTAAAAAATTATAATAGTAAAATTTACCAGTTATTTTCCGCTGATTTATTCATAGATTCCTTTGATTAGAACAATAGTAAATGTTTTTCTTTACCTTAAGTAATATTGTGATTAAAAAAAAAAAACAATGTTTGTGGTACCAATGTTGTCAATTTTCTGTTTTAGTGGTATTTTAAACCCTTTTAAGGTATTTATAATAATTTTAAGATAAGTTTATAATAATTTCACTTTATACATACTAATTTCTGTCAGTGTCACCAGTTAGACACAGCACCTTAACCTGCCTGGGAATGCCAGTCCATGAAAAACACCCTCTCCTCTCTAACCACATCATGCAACACGCCTACTCCTTCTTGTCGGGACATTATCGTGAAAAAATATAAACCTAATATGTGGTCGTGGTAGGGGTGGTGCTAGGATTTGCCCGACAAGAAGTCCTATGTCCCAGATGGTGGTCCGATTACAGCATTCAGGGGTTTCAATGGCTTATTTTATTCGATTTTAGAGTTTATTATTAATTTGAAGCTCCCGTATCCCCCCAACCTCGCTGGCGCCACCATGGGTTGTGTAAGTCGTAAGTTACCAAAGCAATCTCAATCCCTGCAAGATTCTAGAAGACGTTGTAGAACTAAAACCCAAGACTCATGTGTGTTGTTAGGGACAAACTAAAAGAAATGATTCTTATTATAGGCCTAGGTGGCATCACACGATTCTAGATGCATTAACCAAGACGAAAGGAGACAACACATACTGCAACTGATTGACGAAAACACGTCATCTGATAATTGAGGATTGAGCAATAAAGTTTTTAAATTCAGAGAATCTCAAGCAGATTTTTTGGAAAATGAATATCTTGGCACATTTTGTTGCATTGCGATGTTTCAAACACAAGCCCAGAACAGCGATAATGAAAGATGTAGTTTCACGGAATAAGAGTGTGCTTCCCAAGCTTACATTTGTATATTTAAGACACAACAATGCTAGCTGCTACCACTGTACAACTACACTACTTGCAACAAAAGAAATTGCTGAAGAGACGAGGTTAAATGAGCAAATTTATGCAAACGAGGTTCATGTCATTGAAGATGGTTTTAAAATGAAACATGCTTCAGAATCAGATAGACAGCTGAGTAAAAGGTTGTTCCTACCTTCTCAAATGTTGCAAAAGAAGAACTGTGGGATGGTATAAGCCTTCTTAATAATTTTGAATTTAAAACTACAGGAGTTTGAGTATGGAGGGCATATGACATTTGACCTGGTTCACATGACATTTGACCTGGTACATATTAGTGGCACCCGACATTTCCATTATTTTTGTATTAAGTATGTTTTTGCCCAAGGTTACTTTTAGTATTGTGCGAAGACATCGAAAGTGAAAGGAATTTAGTCGATGCTCAAGTTTACGATAGGTTGGCCAAGTCTCACTGCAGTATAGTAGAACACTCAGGACGCATGCGGTGTAAATCTTGACTTTTAAGAATATATCAAGTTTTCTATTGTTCCAAACTCTGGTACGCAGTTTACCGAAAGTAGTTGCAGCTTTTCCTATGCGATGACTTCAGCATCTAAGGTGTTGTTGTCTGTAACAGTGGATCCAAGGTAGGTAAATTTGTTGACAACTTCAAGCGGAGAATCATCAATAATGATGTTTGGTGGAGTCACACTTCCATTGGACAAAATCAGTTTTTCCTAGGTTGATGGACAATCCAAAGTCATGACATGCACTAGAGAATGCGTTGCAGGATGACTGGAGTTCGGTTTCTGATTGAGCAATAATGGCAGCATAATCTGCGTAGAGTAACTCATTTACTTTAAAGCTGCTAGTCTTGGTGTGGGCATGCAAACGGGAAAGGTTAAATAGGTTTCCAAAAAAACGTGTATTGAGAGTAATTCCAGTTTCCAAAGCTCTTGGAGTAGAGCAGCAAGGAATATTCCAAATAGGGTTGGAGCTAATACGCAGCCCTGTTTCACGGCTGTTGTTATAGCAAACTTCTCTGACTGACGTCGATGATGTTGGATGGTTGCATACATGTGATGGAAGGCTGTAATGATGGACAGTAGATTTTCTGGGCAGCCATACTTCTTGAGAATAGCTCGTAAACCACTTCGGCTAACACTGTCAAACGCCTTTGACAGGTCAATGAAAATCACATACAATGGCGTTGCTGCTTGATTGTTTTTTCTTGAATCTGTTTGAGACAGAAGACCATGTCTACTGTAGATTGGCTTCCCGGTAGAACACGATCAGCTAAGACTTGGAGGCGAGGTAACAGTATTTTGGCAAACATTTCACCAGCAATACTGAGTAACGAAATTACTCTGTAATTGTTACAGACATGTCTGCTGCCCTTGTTCCTATAGAGCGTAATAATGTTGGCATCTTTAAGATCGTTGGGGACACATCTCTTCTTCCAACAGAGTGCAATTACTTTGTGGAGTTCTTCTGCAATTATGTCTCCGCCGGCCATGAAGATTACCAGAATCTGCACATAGTTGTATACGGTTGCTTAGACTAGTCCAGTAGCGACACAAAGTAGCACGGGTGAGAGATTGTACATTTGCTTTGCTGCTTTAAGAATACCTCTGGAGTTGCGTGTGTCCCTTACCAGCACCAACATCCAATTGTATATGGCACAATTAACTTTTCATGGTGAATTCAACAATTAAATTGAGTCTTCCTAAGTTGAAAATCATAACTCGTCGTTGAAAGCAAATTTATCATGGATTGCTTTTGTTAGATTGGTGTTTGAATTTGTTTGGTTTTCAGAAAGCTAAATAAAGTTGTTTGCTTTACATGCAATGCAGTATAATATTGAGTTTAACATACTTGAAATAAACCTGACAACACATGTTGTTATAATAGTCATGTATATAGTAATATTATGGTTACATGAATTATATTTTATATTGTAGCGTTTTCCGTACAGTAAAAAATGTATATTTACAATATTTTTTAATGAAAAAATATTGATAAACTTTACAACACATTTCTTAGCATGTTGTTAAACTATTCAGGTAACTACATTTGTTTTGGTTAACTGTTTAGTAAAAAGATGTATATTTACCTTAATTTTCAACAAAACAATACTGTTTTCTGGCAATACAGTACAAAATTAAGTTTTAACTTACTTGAAATGAGCCTGGCAACACATTTCTTAACATGTTGTTAGACTATTTATGTAAATATAGTAACATTATTTTTGTGCGAGGTGCTCTGTGTATATTGGCGAGACCAACAGACACTTAGAAACACGGGCAAGTGAGCACTTAGTTTGGGACGAATCATCACACATTATTTCAACATCTTCAAAACTCCGTTAAATCAAAAACACAATTCCAATTGAGATTGCTTTACTATTCTTTACTCCGCCCACAATAATTATCAACTTAAAATAAAAGCCAATGCTTTTGGGAAATCCGTCACTGAGCAAACTTTGCTTGTTTTGTCTTATATCTGACCGGTAGTATATAAACCGGTAATAGCATAAGCATTATTACCTGATGCTGATATGTGCGATACGTCGAAACATGTCAATTATAAGCTTTATTATGTTATTAGATGCATTACTGCATTTGTGTATATATATATATATATAATATAATATATAGATTAAAAGGCAAAATACTGGAAAACAACAATGCTGTGGGAAACAATGGCTGGATCTCAGTAGAGATACAAAAATGATAAGCAACAGCTAAAAAGTAAACGTAAGTAAACAGCCAGAAAGGGTTTCAAGGTCTTAATTGATTTTGAAGTCTACTAATAATGTAGAAAATACATAGGCCTATACACCGCTCTGACGAATTGTGGTTGTTCTTTTGTAGTAGTAGTAGAAGTAGTAGTAGTAGTAGTAGTAGTAGTAGTAGTAGTAGTAGTAGTAGTAGTAGTAGTAGTAGTAGTAGTAGCAGTAGCAGTAGTAGTAGTATGTTTACCCATTTCCTTTGTGTTTTTTGTGAATCCAATAACAAGCTGTGATGAGAATGGCTATCACCACGATGACCACACAAGACGACACCACCACAGCAGTAACGGTCGAAAAGCTGTCTGAGCTAGTAGTAGTAGTAGTAGTAAGATATTTTGGCTGTGAAGTTGGATCATCCATTCCTATGCAATAATAAAACATGATGCATTACACTTTACGTGTTAGTGCACTGTTCATGCGTTGACCATTATGAGCCATAGGATGTGAAGTTGTGTTGTTATTCATTAAGCTCTGTCAAAACTTTAACATTTCTTTGAACAAAAAAACTGTCATAGTGTGCCTATATGGTCGTCATGCGAAGACATCATGGGCATATTTAGGCATTTTTCACGTATTTTTGTCAAATAAATTTTGATAGTCTGGACAGGGATTTAAAGAAAGTATCCACTTCAAAAATGAAAGACTGTATTTATACAGTGATGAAGATCTATATTGACTAAGGCGGAATTGGCGAGGTTTATACTTTGCATACACAGAATGTATACATAGTAACAGTGTGCGGACACAGTGTGGACATGGTGTGAACACAGTGTAATGCAATGTCCATACTGTGTCCACGCTGTCAGCTATTGCTGACAATTCTGCCATAATCAATATAGACCACACGGTGATGATGTTTCTAGGTTTCTTCAACAAGCATTAAAATCACAATAATGTTTTCAAGTATCTTGTTTACAATCGAGTTTGCTAAAATACAGAGATACGGTGTATTTTATTGATCTCTGACCGCCTACACATGCGATATTTAAAAGTGCAGTTACAATTATGACATCAGACAATAACATTAAATTGCTTCGGGTTCTAGTGCTTGGGTTACAATTATGACGTCAGACACAATAAAATTAAATTGCTTCGGGTTCTACTGGTGCTGGATTCTCCTCAACGCCTTCGTGGTCCGGAAGTGTACAGAATCACAAAAGGTCCAGACATCGAGTCAATTGGTGAAGTTGAAAATATAGGCATATATAAAATTATATATTTTTTGGACGTTATTTGGAAGTTAAAGAAGAATTGGCGAGTGAACAGAATACAATGACGGATCCTGGCTACGGGGCCTAAGCATTTTTAGACAAAATATTAAAAACCACCCCACCACCGCTCTGGGCTTCCCACCTCACATTTCTCCTACCCAGATTTTTCTCTGGATTAGCCTCTTAAAATTGCCAAAACTGTCTATAGAACCCGGGTCATTGTTGAGTCGAATAGCGATTAAGGCAGGGGCGCCGCAACTTACAGCCAAAATATCGGCGCTAGTTCGAGCGGCACGCTCTCTTAAGGTTACGGTGGTACGTGGAACAAGTCTTCTTGGGTAAGGACCATGGATAGGTCCAGGTTAACGTAATTGGCTCATGTGCACTATAAAGAAGCCAGTACATCTTTCGAGAGAAGTAGGAGGTTACCCCGGTGTTCAGTTCAATACTACCACTAGGCAGATTGTAACAGTTGGTACCAGTTTATTGGGTATCTCAGAGACGAAAGGAACCTTATAGGGAAGAGGAAAGTTATTGTACTACAAGCTACAGTAGACCACGCCAGTGGCGGCGCCAGGATCTCCCGACGTAGCCCCCGAAAATATGACAATTTAAGGGTTTCAAAGGCTTATTTAATAGATTCTAGAGTATATTGTTATGTACAAAATACATATAATTTTTTTTTCTCCTCCACGAATTGTGGTATTTTTTCCC